AAAAAAAAGCGATGATAAAGAACCAGCAGAAAAAGTGTAATAGTGCGAGGAATTGTTATCAAGACGGGATGACTGGACGCTTTTCCCACGCGCCTTACTAACGAAAACGCAGCAACTACAACATCATACTGGTAGTTTGAGTAATTAATGAAAAAGAGAAAATGACCACATTGATTATATTGCCCCACTTCTCAGTTAATATGACCAGAAGTTCATTAAAACTTTAAAGAGCGTTAGTGTAAGGGACAGTTTGTCCTCTCTTTATAAGTCTTCTAAATAACGTTTCAAAGAACACTGGACTCTATTCTTCCTCGCTTTCTCTCATCTGCTTACTTCCGTCAGTTGCTGCTGTTATTTGGAGTCAGATAAATCCAGCGTCATTTAATGTGATAAAAAAACTTGACTGAACTTGTTTAAAAATTGATCAATTAAACCAATGGCAAAGCAAACAAGCTTTACAGAACGAAGTTAAACCGCTTTTACTGAAGTGTCTGTGCAGATGCCTTAGGTTTTATTGAAAAGAAAAAAAGGTGCAATAATAACGTTCAAAGCACACATGTCTTCTCAGTGTTGTATCATCAGTTGACTGCAAAGTAGAGAAGAAATAAAAAGAAAGCAGGGGATAAAAGTGAAAGGACTGTAAAATAATCAGACAGGTGTTGGAAAATGGATGATTCTTAGGAGTTATGAATATTGTGATGGAAAAATAACGCAGACTTATCAAAGTTTAAGCGTTCGGCTGGAAAAAATGACAGCAACAGTGGACTTGAAAATTTATCGTGCCATCAAAAATGATGAGTTTTTTATCTTCAAAAAATAAATAAATAGAAATGATGCATGAAAAATGAAGAGGATTTCCCAAACCATTATCCAGCCAAAAAATTGACAAAATCTTTCTGATGAGCAGTGTCAACCGTGAGTGCTAAACATGCGAGAAGTCTACAGTATTACTGTTAAGTTAACAGAGCACCACGAGACGGTCGTCCAGTTTTTGATTCATTAAATTAATCAACCTGCCAGTTTTTTGAAAAGGGATTAATTTAAAGGCTCGAAAAGTCCTTCCTCCGCTTTTTCTTGTGTTCTCTAAACGCCTTGAAACCTAACACCAAAATAGTTGTTTCAAGTTCAGTTAACTTAATGCAAACCGTCGCTTAGATGAGTATTCTTCAGTGCCATATGTAGTAGTATTATCATCTCTCGCCCATCCATATTTCATGCAATGATTGCTGCAGTTATTAAAAATATTTCTAAATGTACTTTGTTATAGCTCATAAATCAAGCAGTTGGTTTTATACTTCTACTCTTGCTTTAATCAAATGTTCGATATCAGACTCTCTCAATATCATTGAAACGAAGCTAAAAGCAAATCATACTTTGCCTCACTATAGTAGGAAAAAACGATTAGCATCTTTTCTTTTGCATCTTCCATCGGCACGTGAATGTCCTCTTGAATGCACCTCAAAAAATAGAAGTCAGACATGAATGCTAAAGAGAATAAATTTTCAGAAGATGAAAACAAGTCAAAGAGCAAACGCCGATCAGTAAAACAGCAAATTGCATTTTATGAGACCTTGAAATCGGAGGGGCCAATTTCCCAAAAAGACGAAGATGACGATTACAAAACTTTCGATGAAAGCCGTACAGTAGACGAAAAGCGGGAAGAAACTAAACGATCTTCAGACGAAGGAGATGTTAGCCAAAGACAGGCCGTACAACTAACTGCTTCAGACGGTTTTGATCTCAAGAAAGGATCTCAGCATACAATAAGTCTTCAAGATGATATTGATACGGGTAAACAACCATCTGTAAGCAGGCTGATCGGCGCTTTTGAAGAAGCATCTATATCAAAGACCTCTTATGCAACGGACGACAAAGCGAATGGCAAAAGAAGAGCAGAAACAAAGGAACAGAAGTTTCAAGAAGAAATTTTTCGAACAAGTAAGCAAAACACCGAACAATTTTGTATAGTTTAACAATTACCGGGTGTTTAGAAAATTATTAAGACGTCATTGAAAACCCAGGCTATTTGACCAAGTGTGCAACTTTGTGAGTTGCTAAATGTAAATATATTTGAAATGACAGTGGACACAAATATCCTATTTCCTCCTCAAAGTATTCTTTACCAAATGATTTTTAGAACTGACGCTGCCTATCATTTTAATATCAAGAGAGAACTTAATTTTCTTTAAGGGCCAACAGCTATTAGAGGCAATAAGATTTTCTCTTAGCGCCCAGTTTGTGAGCAAATCTTTTAGCTTTTTGTGAATAATGTGTATAACAAATGAAATTATTCAGATTAGTTTTTTAATTTATAATAATTACATTTTGCAGTTCTTCTGCGGTCTTTATCCCATGTAAAAAGCTTTCGCTTACAGATCACTTTGCGCCGGCAATTTATAAAATAATCAAATTCTGCATAAAAGTATTAGGAAAAACGAGACGTAGCTAGTACAAAACGGCCCAGAAAAATTTTTGTCACGCGTTGCTAATACTGTACTGACATCGGAATGACTGCAAGAAAAACCCATCTTCGATTTGCTGGCAAAATACTTTTTGGATTTTTAAGCTACAAACACCATTAACTACTGCCAAAATACTAATAGAAAATCGATGTTTTGTATCAAAGTAAGCGTTCTTTTTTCAGGAATAGTGTCTCCCGGGGCATCAAAAATCGAAACAGCTTCAAAAGAATTTGAAAGTTTAAAAGATTTCAAAGATGATACGGGGTACATTCCATATCCAAAACATGAACAACAACAGGTATCACCGGAAGAAAAAGTGACGGCCATTACTTACGGCCATGAAAAAACATCTCCTCTTGTTGAGCCTTCAAAGGACACTATGGGAGCGAAAGATTTAAAAATTTTGCCGACAGAAAGCAAACGAAGCAAACTGACGTACAAGGAAACTGGTTTTTTACCAGAAGAAATAGAACACGAAACAACAAAATTAGAATTAGAAGAGATAGGAACTGTCCCGAAAACTATCTTGCATGACGTCAGAAAGGGACTGGACATCTCAACTAAAGAGTACCAAACATTAAAACGACCAGAACCAGAACCAATAGAGATAAAATGTTTAGCTAAGGCAGAGGAACTTTCTTGCATAAAGCTGCCAGAAAAACCATGGAAAAAAATCCCAACCGAGGGGATCACTGCTGAATTTGAGTTCCAAAAAAAGCAGCTTAAAAGCGGTGAAACCGAAGTCAGTAAAGTACCTGCAACTTATACATCAGATATTTTTCATTCAGTCGTAGAAAAGCCCATAACTTATGGTGAACCTAAGAGTTATAAAGCAAAGGCAACTTCTCCAGCCGCTACTGACAAACATAAAGAATTATTCGGATACAAAGGACAAAAGATCATAGAAGAAACTGAAGAAATTATTAAAAAAGATGGACTATTTCATTCCGTTCACGCAGCACCGGAACGAGATTTGCCATATACAGAAGAATATGAAAGAACCCACATAGCTGGTTTTGGGGAAAGCGAAGTTGAGAAACCAGTTGAGCTAGTGCGAAAAGAAGTAGAAATTGTATCAAATAAACCTCTAGACGAAGGGATGATGGTGGACAGTAAACTTGAAGTAAGTCATTTTAAAATTACTTTGCAGCCAGATGAATCATATAAAACTCATAAAATCCTTCAACAGGAACATCTCGAAGAACATTATGACAACTATTTACCAAGCACAATTATCGAAGAGCGCGGCATTAGTCCGCGGGATATTACCGTTGATGTAACCTTTGACCAATTACCTCAGTCAGAAGCAGAAACGGAGGTTAGAAATGAAGGGGTAAAGAAGCACTTTTCAAGCTTTTTTCAAGCATATGAAGAAGAAAAACAATCCCAGTTTGAGGACCGAGTTCCTCAGCCACACCCTGAGTTAGAGTTGAATAAGTTAGAAGATATCCCTTACCAAAAGCTTCCCAAGTCTGAGAAGAAAGTAGCAGTAGAATCTTCAGCATTGGGCGGTGAAACCGAAGAGAGCCCATTTTTTGCAGCAGTTTATGAAGAACTCCCGTCTTACACCACACTTTCTGCAGAAAGCAAAATTACTTCAACGGGACCTGAGCGAGAGGATCAGGGCAAATATCAACCCGACTTTAGCGAACACTTTGATGAACCATATTCAGAGTCTTTAATTAGGGACGAAGAAATACCCGAAGAGTCTTTGGTCAGTTCTTCATGTTCCGAAAAACCGGTAAAAGAACCTCGGACCAGTATGGAGGAAGAAAGCGCTGTTTCTTATTTTGGCAAAAAGATTTGTAACGCTTCAGAGTCAGAAGTATTTCAAGGAAATGAGGTTGCAATTGAAAGGAAGGAACATCCCGGCGATTTGTTTACGAAATTCGTGTTAGAAAGGAACATTGAAGTATGCGATCAACCCCCCATCAAGCTTCCAACAGTACAAAACGTTGATTATATTCCAGGGACCATAGAGTACCTAAAAGGAAGTACGCCAAGACCAGATGAGAAGGAAGAACAGTCTGCCTCAAACTTGCCAATACACGAAGAGCCAGTTTTGGAACGACTAGAAACGGAACAAGAACCTGCCGAACCACATTCTCAGTCCGCAGCCGAAACAGAAGTGAAAGTATCCACTGAAGTCCCAACTGTGCTGTCACCTCTAAAGTCCGAAAAGTCAGGATCGGGAATTAAGTATGAGGAATTATTAGTGACTCAAGGAGAACATCAGAGAATTAAAGAATTTACCTCTCAGATGCCTGAGAAAGCCTTAACTACTACTGAACTGCCGCTTTACAAAGAGCAGGCTTCTGGATGGGCGGAAACTGAACAACAGTCCGTAGAGCCGTTTTCGGAAGCAGTGGTGGGGAGAGATGAAGACCTGTCGCAGGAAATACAGACCACCTCTACGCCTGCGAAAAGTACCACCGAAATTCAGAAAATAGAGGCTGCAGAAGAAACTACAACGTATGGGCAGGGGGTCGGAAAGATAGAACCAGAAGTGCGATGCGGGGGAACAACTGTACAGACTTCTATAGAAAAAAAATTCGAAAAACCGGAAAGAGAAGTAGAAAAAACAGTAGAAATTTCAATAAGTGGCAAAGATGATAGAATTTTTGAAAAAGTGCACTTTAGAAAAGTAAATGAGCAAATCAGTTCAACTCAGCAAGAAACAATTCAAAAAGAAGCAGAAACTAGCAAAGAATTTTCTGATGTGCCGTACTCAGCAACAAATGTGTATGAGAGGGTTTCCGATGAGGAACCTGCTACAACATCTATCTCATTAGCACAGGAAGATTTTATCAGACCTAGCATAATACCAGAAAAAACTTTTTTCCCTTCAAAACCATTTGAAGACGTAATGAACTTGCCGAAAACTGTTGAATGCTCCACAAAGCTACAACTTTACGATGAAAAGGAAACTGCACAGACCGAATTGAGGAAAGGAATTACAGAGCCGTATTCTGAAAGTGTACTGATGGTTTGTGAAGACGTTTGTCAGACAACATCTTTGAGTAAAACTTTTCCGGAGGAGAAGTCGGAATTGACAACCGCAAAGAGAACAACTGAAGAAGTTCTGTCAACTGAAATGAATGAGGGCGTTTCTGATGCCCTTCAAAAAGCCTACGTGCCTACTACGCCCCTTGAACAAGAACATTTCGGTTCCCTGACTGGATCACAAGTGGTATCAATTTATGGTCTTGAAGAAAGTGTATTAGACAAACATTCAGAATTGCCGCATGAAATATTACAAGTCGGAGCCGAAACGGAACGTTACAATGAAGAAGCACCTTCCAAATCAATATCAAGCGAAGGTTCTTCCAAGGTTCCTAAATTGAAGAAAAATGATTTTTACGATTCAGAAATGCAGCAAGATGAGGAGGAAACAAGTTGGTTGGACAAGCGGCAGGAGATTAGCGAAAAATCGCCAGAAATTTTGGAGTCTTCAACAGCTGAACCTGCGGTTACTTCTGTCTTTATCCAACAGAGAGATAAGCAGCCAGAGGAAATCGTTCCTCCCATGGTGCGGCCAATAGAAACTTCAAAAATAACTAAAGAGTTTGAAAAAATCCGCTACAGTACTACAACAGCAACTTCTGATGAATCGCTTCCGAAACAGGTAGAACTTATGCATAAGCCTGTGCAGGAACATCCCGAAGTAAGGTCAGAAGAGCAAATAATGTCCAACCAGATCCCAATTAGCATACCAGTTATAGAAGAAAAGAGTGAAATTATTAGCAGTAGCATGACATTTGAGAAAGTCCGGTCTAAACCAGACGTGTCTTCACCAACAACGGAAAGAGCAGAGAGTGCATTTATTGAATTCCGAGAAGACATAGAAGCATCAGCATCTGACAGAGAAAGTAAACTACGGTATGAGCACAGTGACGCTCGTCCAGAACAGTGGTCGAAGGAAGAGCTTATTCAGGTGATACCGTACCCTTCTAGTATAAGTGAGGAAAAAAGAGATTTGGAAGAAGAAACCGTTTGTCTAGCTGAAAAGCCCCCGTTGAATTTAGAACGAAAAGATGAATTTTCAGCGATTTCTGAGCGGGAAAAAGAAGAAATAGTGGACAGGGCGATAGACGATCTAATCTTAGACGAGCAGCTTGGCGGAACACTCACGAAGATTGCAGATAGTCAGAGTGAACTTTTACCAGACAATTTCACTAGTTCTTACCCGAGAGATCACACTGCTGAAAGGCAGCTGTTCGACAGCGTGCCGCCTGTTTTTGGAACTTCTGACGAACAACCACTAAAATTAGCGGAGAAAGGCGAACTGACAAGTTCTGAAAGCTCAGCCGATACAACGATTATTGTAAAGTCTTCTGAAGATGGAAAAACAAGCCCCATCGTTCAGTTTACTGAAACTAAGGCGGTTGCCCCCGAAATGACCACAACAATTCAAAAAGCACCAGAAGAAGCACAAATCAGTTTATACGAGGATAAAAAAGGTGAAAGGTACGAGCCAGATGAGGAGTATTACAAAAAAAACTATTTTCTGGAGGAACCCGAAGTTTCTTACGAGGTGCTTGATACGCCACTACCAATAACCGGTGAAATTCAGAATGTCTACTTAACTTCACAAAAACCTACAGATAATGAACTTATATTAGAAACTAAAAATGGAAATAATGCTCTATTTGGTGCTCCAAAAATAGATATTTATGCAAAATCTTCCGATGAAAAAGTTTTTGAGCCTTCAACAGAGGAAACACTCAAAATGGAGGAAGAACTCTGCGAGGAACCTATTTTACTGTATGACCAGCACGAGCAAGGAGTTGCAGACACAAAACTTAAGGCTACCCTTGTTTTTAATGAACCCACTGGAGTACTTTCTGAAGAGCCTGTCAGTACAAAAACAAGGACTTCCGAAGAGGTAACTATGGAACTAGCGGAGCCCAAAAAAACTCTAAAGGAAATATTTTCAAAAACAGATGAAAATCTCTATCCTGCGGTAGAAACTGAAAGAGAATCTGCAGTGTTAGAGGAAAATGAATTTGTGGCAAGCCAACAATACGAAGACGGAAAGAAGGATTTCCCGCACGCAAAGATTAAACTGACTAAGAAAGAAGAAAATGAGCCAGAATTTTACTCAGAAACGAAAGGAACAGGGCGTAGTGATGCAGATTCCACATCTTCAGAACAGCTTGAAAGTGGTTTTATTTTGCCATCAGATGCAGAGTTCCATTACCCTTCAGAGAGCCAAGAATTTCTTATGACTGAAAAAGAATTATGCACAGTAACAGGTCCAACCAGCAGTAGTACTGGCCCAGATGAGCAAACTAGAGTTTCCAAGGCAGGAGGAGCGAAATTAGAGAATGTTAAAGCAACATCTGAAATTGTACGTCGACAACAACTGGAGGAAGCAACTGAGCTGCAAAGTTCGACAACAAGTGATCTGGCTGATTTTGATAGAGTGATTTACATGCCTAAAGCAAAGGCAGATGAGCTTGTTAACTACATCAACGAACAAATAGAGAAAGCAAAAGAAGAGGACGAAAGAGACGAGCAGTTGTATCACTTTTCGCAAATGCACGAATATAGAGGAGCTTTAGCTAAAGAAAGACTATCAGAAACAATAGATTCTTTGGAAGCATTTGAAAGCGAATTGTCTGTTTCAGCAAGCCCTGAAAATGCTCCCCCACATTTTGAGACCGATAATGCCAGTCATCTAGAAAGTGATGTCCAGTCTCAAGTGGACGGACTAAAAAAGAGTACATTACTTAGTGAAGAATTTACAACTCCAACGCCTCCCTCGTCGCCAATAAGCACGGGGAAGAGAGAACCTTCAGAAGACCAAAAGTATTTTGAGCCAGGTGCTCGCCCAAAAAAACAAGTCGTTACGGATAGTACTGGTGATTTAGATGAAACGGAAGAATATTCAAAAATGGTTCGAAAAAAGTTTTCTTATCCTGGAGAGTGCAATCAAAAAAATGCTGAACGTGATTTTCTTCAAAGAGACATCACTGATGAAGAAACGGGCACAACAGCAAAACAAGGTGAAGAGAGTTCGTGGCTCAAGGAACAAGTTGTTGACATTGCCAAAAAAACTGGGCTTGTTGCCACTGGGATTGCCTTAGCACCTGTAGTGGCTGCAACGTATACTGTCACTAGCGCTTACAGAGGAGTTATGGAAACCTTCAAAGGCCAGGAACAGCATGAAGTGAAAACAGGAGCTGAAGAAGAAATTCAACCAAAAAAGTGGGAATCGTCAGGTGGAGATGCAGACGTAAGCAACTTAGAAAAAAAAGTTATTACTTATTTTCCTCTATATATTGACTGACAGTGTTTGTTTTTTTTTTAGAGCCGTAATTTTTTCCCAAAAAGTTACCACTTTATACTTTTTAGTTTCATTTCTCTATCACGCAACATCCCCGAAGGACAGTTCTTCAAACCCAACTAAATGTTAAGACAAA